GCACTGTGAACCGTCTATCTTTTGCCGTTTGCTATTAAATTATAGCTTTAGACAAACATTGTAACATAAGTGAAAGTTCAGACTTAGTCTTGGTTATAGTGACAATGCAAGACAAGAGAACAGTTTATTCTCAACTGGAACAAAGTATAGAGAGGAAGAATGCAGAATAAACTTGTGTGACATCTTGAAAATTATAAATGTCTGATTTCTCAGGCACGTTTCATGGTTTTCTTCATTTGTTTCTTGTCTAATGAAATTGAAGTAAAACATAATTATATACAAAAGGTTTCCTGATCAAGATAAACAGATAGTTTATAACGTCTAACTTCCTTTTTAGTCTTCTTGTGTATGTGAATAAAGAAAATATGTATTTTGATACGATTAACCGGTTAATCGGTCGGAACGTCTTGCGGTTAACCGATTAGCAATTCTGTATTCGATTGCCATCCCTAATATGTATATATATATATATATATATATATATATATATATATATATATATATATATATATATATATATATATATATATATATATATATATATATATATATATATATATATATATATTACAGTTTATATTTGCACTCATTAAGGACTAGCCTAAATGTTACGACGAATTCGAACTCATTACAATATTCAGGACATAGATCTGTAGATCTGAGTTGTTAAGCTTTAGTGTTAAATATGTTAATAATCGTGATAAGTAAAAATGATGAGACACTATTGCAGCATTCACGAATTTTAATTCACAAACTCAAGGATTGACGTCATAAAACAACTTCTTGTTTATGGGCATTTAAAGACCTTTTGGCTATTAAGATATGCATTTTTTAAAAGTTTGTTTTGTAAAGCAGGCAATCACAAGGCATTTAAATTATACACGATAATAGTAATTAATAAATCACCATTAATCCAATTTTTAAAGTCACAAATTTTTTTTCCCTGAAGTTCGGGGGACTACATTACTATGTATTATGTAACTTCACAAAAGGTTTTAATTGTTATATAACAAATAAAATATAAACTTTCTTGTGTACCTGAAAACATCGTAAAACTTCTATTAGCAGATACATTAAATGCCCTGAAAAAACGAAATATTGCAATTAAAAAAAATTCAATAAAAACAAATTACATATCAAAAAATATTTTAATACACCCTCATACATATATGAATTAAATGAAAATGTTTTACTTTTCAGTCGATTTGTTGAGTAGAAACATTCGTAATTATGCATATTTTTAGACCAATAAAACGCTTACAAAATAAAACACAGACAATTTATATCATCAACTGAGCTGCATTAAGACAAGACATCTTTACGTCAACGACTGCTAAAACTAATTTTGAAGATCCATTTCTTAGTTATAAAATATTATACAAAAAAGCATGCTACGCATGAAATACAAATCTGTAAAAATCGTGTGAAAATGATGAGTATTATGTTTTTGCATCCTCTGAATCTAACATCAACTATTGCCTTTAAAATCTCATAAGATGTTAACTTTTATGAATAAGGTCTACAGGTCAAGTTCAACTAAAAATTCCTAACCTCACTGTGAATTCTGAAATTTGGAATAATATACTGAGATAACATAATCAAAATCAAGGAAACTCTGTATCTAACAACTGTTTAATATCAAAACTCACTTGGTTTTTAATGATGTGTAGTTCTTGTGATTTCTGGAATATAGTAATTAAGTTAACAGTGATACCCAAAATTTAGAATGATCAGGCAACATTTTGTCTTAATTACAGTTACACAAATGATAACAATTTGACAGATAGAAAAGATCGATTCGTTATATCAGGAATTCGGTGACATTAGATACAACTTGCAACAATATGACTTAAGAAAAGATGATATCCCTCGTAATGACAAGCAGGTTTCTGCCAGGACCACTCTGACCTCAATCTCGGTGAAATATAGGTCAAATAAAGGGTACCTGGTGCTAAATAAAGTGTGTACAAAGTGAAGCATTGCAAAATAAGACCAGACAAGAGATTAAGCAAGAAATTATAGTGAACAAGCTTATTTTGAGAAGTGTGGTCCCCCACTCTGGGGGTCTTATTGGTTGGGGTGCAATGAACCAATTGGCATATTGAAACTGTCTTGTCTGTTCATCATCCTAAAAAGAAGTTACATATTTTTTAAGTAATATATGTTCTGGTGCAAACTTTACTGCCAAGTTATCTTTTTTTTTTAAAAGTATGTCAAACTTTAATTTTATGAAGTGAAAAAAATAGTACATTTTGAAAGATCTTGCACAAAAGAAAATAAAAGAAAGCCCATCTTCTCTCATTCAAAAGTTACAGTACATGTATTACTAAAGATAAAATCTTTGAAAAAAAATCATACTTCCAGGTCCATATCACATCAATATTTTGTATACGAATGTGGAGTATGAAGGCCCTATCTTCACTCATTCAAAAGTTATGACCAAAGTCATTTTTATAAGTAAGTCCTACTCCAAGGTCAAGATCTCCAGTAAATCTGCTCTGTAAAAAAGATAGGGGCAAAGAAAAACATGCAGAGGGTAAATTTGAAATCCCTTTGCAGTGTTAGAACTATAGCAATCATTGCCAACCGAAACAAAATATCACATTTCTTCATTTGAATATGTTACAGGGATCTTTCTATATTATTTGCTTTCATTTCGACCTACAATTGCTTAGATATTTTTTGTGTATGAATGATTAAAATTATTACTTATCAATACTTTGTTACCATAGTAACATATGTAATTGTTGGTTTCCCAATTGTTGTTTATCATGCCTTTAAGACATCAAGTCTTAAACTTTTGGTAACAGTCATTGTCACTTTTCTGTATTACTGCAAACGTTAAAAATGGGACTTTGAACATGTTCAAAAAAATAAATGCTTATCTTAATGGCATGTTGGCATGGTTACCATGACATATGGCAACCAATTTTTGCCTGATATAAGTTTATGGTATCAAAGACATCATAGTTAGAGAGTTTGGAGAGTATATACGTATATGTAAGAGTTACATAGAATTACTCTTAATTACGTCAGTATAACAAACAGCAAAATCTGTCAGACATTCATTTCAACGCCCTTTGGCAGAAACAACAAATTAAGTCATCTAAATATGTGGATGGGTACAAAACCCGGACTACTTGTTACAGGTTTATTGGCAAGACACCAGTTACACACTGCTATCTATCAATCAACCGACCGTTTTTCCACGAGGTCCGAAGGTTCAAATCATTTTATTGGGTAACCATGGTGTTTGAATGCACTCTCTTGAATCTGCGGGTAAAAATGCAAAATATGAACATTTCTTATGACTGCATCATCAACGAATTCTTAAAAATTATGTGTTAAAAAGGATTTAAACCCAATCCATTCAACTAGACTGTATTAATTGAATATAGTATAAAACTTGTATTAGCTGGCCAATAAGCCCGTCCCATTATGATGCACTTAACATAAAAAGGTAATTGGCATATTGTAGAAAGTGCGTGATTTGCTTGTGGTTCGGTTGAAAATATGGAACAGCAGTGACTGTTCTATATAACACTCCATAAATAGGCAAAACAAAGGGATGATATTAATCTAATTATCCATTAAAAAAACTTTAGTCGTGTTAGGGCAAAGAGTTCGTCCTGGTTAGATCAAAGACACAGTACCGAAGGCTTCCAGGTATACACAATCTAAATCAATCCTTACATCACTCTAGATCAAGATCAGAGGAAGCATCTCACGAAAATAGGATATCTGTTGTAATAATCTGATATAGTAACTAAAGCTATGTTTGATGACGTCAATATTTAAAATCCAGATAAACTATATAAAGAACAGAGCTCCGGGTATCTTCATACTTACAAAATCAAGATTGTGCAAAAAGAAATACAGAACTATTCCAGAAATGATTGGAAAGACTACAGCTGGGCTTACCAACGATGGGGCAGCAATTCCCCAGATTGTCATCGACGCATGTGAAGACGAAAAAATCATTAGACGGACACGACACAGTCTAAAGCATAGAAGCAAAAGCTATGATGCCATCAAGCTTCCTACAACTACTAGCACGATAGAACCTCCGGACGGTGCCCGTCTCAGACCTCATTCAGCAGGTGACCTGGAGTTTTCCTCCAGACAGTCCACAAATGTTGGAACAGTGCCAAGACGAAGCTGTTCGTTTTCCTCAATTAGTTCCAAGGATGGGGTGTGTTCATGTTCGTGTCAAGACTCTACTTCTAATGTAAATATGGTCGATGGAATGAATGGACAAAATATGGTGTCTTTTTATAAACTGTGGAAAAGGAAGCCTGAAAACGACATTGCATCAAAAAGCAAACTTGAACTACCATCTTCAATGAGGAGAAGTGAAAAATATAGACATTGTGGGTGCTTCACCAGAGAACATGCACGAAAGCTGGCAAAGTCTCCCTGCCGATGTCATTAACATTAAATCCATTGAGCATGGGCGAGGAGGACTTCATATTGTTCATTCTATTGTCGTAATACTTCCGTCAATTTTACAAATGCTGTTGATCGGCAAATTGTCTTGTATTCAATTTTTTAACACACTTTTATTATTAAAAACATGAAATCATCAACTTTTTTTTTTTTTTTTTTAATTTGAAGTAGAATTAACATTAAGTTTGCGTGAGCTTCTGGTGAGGCTCTTGTCAATAAGGTGGTCTTAAAGGGAGTCAGTTCAAATTATCCCACCTATGTAGATGCAAATCTTATAAAATTTACTGGTATGTGTGCAAAAATTTTGTATATTTTTTTTTACACAGAAAATGCGGCAGAGTATTTCAGCGCCAATGAAAAAACACACGACTTCATACATGAGTCATTTCTAGTCTATATCAGTAAAAAAAATGCATGCATAATTGTAGACTGGCGACCCCAAGTTCAAATGTAAATATTGATTTGCCAGTCTATTTACATTTTACTTTCGGTTTGATTTCAATCTGTTTCGTCATGTTTGGAAAGCTCCAGAAGAATAAGTATTGAAGTAATATTTATAAATAAAGCTGTGTTTTTCAACATTCTCTTTGAACAGATCGAAAGACGAGCAGCTGTACTTCAGGTACGTTTAATGTGTCTCTTACATTTGGTGACAATAGAGCTACCTTTCCGCTATACTGTGAAAACATTGATCTTTAGAAGACAGACGAAGCGTCAGTATTACTTGGTTAATAAACTTTTGGAATTTATTCATCAAATAGTAAACGGTAAGAACCAGTATCCAATACATGTCGTGCACATGATTTGACAGGCGTTGATCTGCCAAATGAATGATAAAGACGAAGATGTATATAGGTACAGTGGATATTTTGATCCTTAACTTCTTAAATCTGTGTAAATTATGGGTTATTTATTTTTTATTCCCCTTTCTTCTTGCGCATATTGTTATTTGCATGATATTTTTGAGATATATTTTAATTTTCTTACCAATTTAACAACATTTCAATTTTTAAAACTATAAAAATATATAATACATTCGTCTATTAATCGTAGCTCTTTTTACTGTGATAAATAACATGGCTGTACACCTATTAGAGCAGATGTACTCGAAAGGAATTATTAGATATTAGAACTTTAATTAAGCACATACTATGCAACTGTTCGCTGCAGTTCAAACACCGACCATGGGCCCAAGCTTATTACACTGAATTTTTGAATTAACTTAATTTGGTAGTAATGTAGACTGTTAATATATAAATATATGAATAGAAAGTATAAGTTTAAATATTTTTTTGATTTATTAGTATTTTATTGGCGAAAGTGAGTACCATACCTGAGGAGTTCCACACCTTTAATTCTTTATATACCCCCAATTTTGTCAGTTGCATGGATTACAACGATCTAAAGGTCTGGTTTTATTCAATGCATGTATAACAGAGTTATTTAACTTGCCAGATCTGTGCACTGTGAGGATATTAGTACCGTTAAGATAGTTATAACTTATTTCGACAGTTTAAAGATATGGCTGATAGAAACTCTGAGGAATGCCTTTTTCATGGGGACCGCGTTCAGTTCCACGCTTTAACGAGAGGTCTGAAGGAAAACCGAGTAATTCCGAAAACGTACCTTACAAGGCTGGCATCTGCTGTCTGTTCATGCAGGAGACACAGTATGTACTTTAAACATATATATATATATATATATCTATATCTATATCTATCTATCTATCTATCTATCTATCTATCTATCTATCTATCTATCTATCTATCTATATATATATATATATATATATATATATATATATATATATATATATATATATATATATATATATATCGTATATAGGAAAATATTAAGTAAAACAATGTTTTCATTTCCTATTTCATGTAGAAGTTAAGTCATACAAGCATGTTTTAAAAGTTTGCAGAAAAGATATCATCCGTAGACTGAAGTTAATACTTTTCATCTTCTCTCAAACATTGTACTTTTGCAGTTTACTAGTATATGAAGGGTACAGGTAACAGGTGTACCATGTACAATGTAGGTTTCTATTTATTGCCTGCAGAAACCAACACTTCTCAGTTGATGACGATGGATGACTTACGTCACGTGATGGAGCATCTTGAAGAGGTAGAATTACCAAAAATGACTCTTGCTCTCAGAAATTGTCTTCGTGGTATTATCAAAGAGACTCATTCTCTAGAGCAGTATGGAAAGACAAAATTATTGTACATCGTCTACAACGCACTGGTTAACAGCTCCTTTGATGAACTGACGTATAACTCCATTAACTCGCGACCAAAACCGATGCCAACTACCACCGATGTTCAAAAACAGAGAATGACGAAAGAGCAATTTGTGTGTATGAAGAATAAAAGATTAAGTAGAAAAGAACTTGTGAGGCAGATCAATCTTCCAATGTTTGGGAGAAATATAAAGAAATTTACAGAATCCGCCGAATATAAATGTGTGAAGCAAGATTATGACAATGTTAAATTATTCGTTTGGTTTTGTGATAAAGAAAATACTGATTTCATTAACTCTAACCAGAAAAAGACTGCAGTGAAATTATATATGAAGGACTTGAGAGAATTTGAGGCTGTGAAGTACAAACTAGTTCAGATTGCAGAAAAAATCCAGACATTACAAGATACACAAAGGGAAGCCAGAAAGGTTAGGAATAACTAGAGAATAATCCATATTGTTATTTTTGCATATTGTTAAAAACTTTAAAATTTTCATGCTGTCTGCATTCCTCTTATTAAACATCTCTATATACATGTATAGGCTTCTTTAATAGAAAAAATGTGGACGTAAAACAGCATTTATCAGGTTAACACCCTCGAGAGCTGAAGGACAAGTGTCTTACGGTATTTGTTGTTTTTTTTAACAGTCTGCTCGCCGTGCGTATAGGTATTACCATGATCCGACTGATTTCGAACCAGATTTCAGGTCCATCACTGACATTGGTAATTTTTTTATTGAAGTTCTTTTGTCATGAAATACTAGTAAACATTGTAATTGGTATACGTCATACTTTCATGAAAAAGAAAAGTTTCTTTAATTGCAATAACACTTTTTTATATATAAGTTGAAGCCATATACGAAATTCAAAATTGACTGAATACGAGTATTTCATGTGCATCATTAAATTAAAACTTGTTTGTTGTTGTAGCTCTCCAAGTTAAGGAATCTTCAGAATCGGAATACAAGAAGAAGACAATTAAAAAGTTAATATTAACACGCAATCATATATAACACTTGTGCAAGCCTTTAAAATTTTATTTGTGTACTACGCCATATTCTGTATGAGCCTGTTTTTATGCAATATATTTATTTCTTGAAATTTTCACAGAAAGGCCAAGAAATCATCCATCTTGACTGGTGGTCACTGCATGAATTGTTTGGCTCCTTTTGTTGACATACATACGAGCGACAGGGAGTGTAGGCATCATCCTGGATACATAAGTAAGTAGGTGGGAAGTAGAGCACCTTGCTGTACACCTTTCTATGTTCTAAACACACAAACGGAACATTTCTGTGTCTTTGTAGTGAACCCTAAACTGGTATGGTCGTGCTGTAGGCGAAGGTGTGGCGAACAAAAAGCTGACCACACAATGCACAAAAGGACTGGGTAAGAGGATCGGTATAGTAAACAAATATATCATTATGGTATTATTTTTTTTTTTTGTTAATTAGCGATTTTTTTAAATGACTTAACAGGTGCAGCACAACACAGCACAACTGGAGGCCCCATAAGAAACACCAAGCTAAAGTTGTCAAAGATCTGTTTGATGAGAGTGACTGATTATATGGAAAGAAAAAAACAAACACAGAAAAAACATTAATGTTTTAAGTTGTATTTTGATTTTAATATATTAGGCGAAACCTCTAGCGCTTGTTTTTTTAATCGTATTTTAGTTTTTGTTTTACAATACAATGCACTAGTTGAAAACTTCCGTTTTTTAAAAATTGTTTCAAAAGTATGATAAATAAGAACGACGCGTTTTTGGTGTGGATTACAGTGTTTTTCAAGTGTTCTTTGTGCTGACGGAAGTTATCGGTTATGTTCAATATGTATATTTAAAAAAATGTTTTAAATTTGCTCTAAATGACTTATTAGCCAGCTGCAGCTAGGTATCCTATTGCTAATTTATTGGATTGTTTAGCTAAAAGAGCATTCTACTACTTAAAGTTCTCCAGTTTCCTCCCACAGAAATGACCCCTCGCTCCAACTTCCGTGCGATAAAGGACCCCATTAGAAATAAGCTTTCGATTTTTCATGGACTCTCCTTTGTATCATGTATATATTTAATATTATATGTCAAATAAACTTTTTTTAATTTTATTTTTATTTATTTATTCATTTTTTTTTTAGGAACACAAAAGATTACATGTTTTAAGGATGGCGTCATGTCACGTGTAGGTCATATTTTCTAAATCTCCAAGATCTGATGTTCACGCAACACCAAGTACTTATGAAACATGAAAATGAAAAAAAAAAGCCTATGACATTGGTCTTGATTTTTGGTTAAGATCACCATATTACTCCTTTTGGCGCTAAAGATGTGTTTTTTTTTTTGTTTTTGCCTAGTACACATTTATCGCCCAAATCTTCTTCAATGAACATAAACTCATACTACTTGGAAAAAAAATCGAACACATTTTTTTCAGATAACTGATGCCTACACAGTGAAAATATGTTAATATTGAATTACATGTCATGTATATTCATACCGATTTTTTCTTTGTTTTTTTTCTTTTCTTCAATTTTTGCAAATGAAATTATTACAAATGCCTCACAGTTCTAAATATTTTAGATAGTAATACCGGGTATTTTGACATTGAAGTAGAAAAGGATAATTGGAGATTTAATAAAGTTATGACAACATATAAATAAGTAGATGTAGATGGATTGGACATTTAAAACGACCGACAGCCGAGGGTAAATTAATAGTACATACCTATTTGTGAGCATACAATCGTTCCCGTTACCCAAAGCCCCTCCCCCGGACTTTTGATTCACATTGTGAGGCAATCCTTTGGATAAATTCATTTAAGCCCTTGTTTTCTATTTTTCGACAGTTCAAGAAAAGCAAACTTTTCAGTTTTCGGTGAAAAGAAGACAAAACACCGAGCATGTATTTGTTTGTACATTGTTAATTATTATTGAATATATATTTTTTCTTTTTAACGTGGTTTGTTGCGGATAACTTCATACACATGCAATATTTTCCTGAATGCAAAATACAAGTAAACAAATACAATTATGCAGACCTCTTCAAATACGTACATTTTTCATTTCTGGTTATATCAGTATTCTGTAAAATCAAGCATTTTGCTTATACATTATAAATATAGAATGGTATTTTCCAAATAGAATTGCCTACATGCATGTCTTTTTTATGTTCTGGAAAAAGTTTTATTTGAGTAAATGTTGAAAGATAGTGTTTTTATCTATAAATTTTACTCAGAACTGTTAACATCCGATTTCATCTTTCTTGTAAATTGTTAATGTTCACCACCATATTGATGACCGAGACTTCCTATTCCAGTGGCATGTGCAATTTCATCAGATTCCAATCCAGGCAATTGTAGCTGTGAGTTGGATCCAAGTGTTCCTATTCCAGTTACATGAACATACGGGTTTGTGTTCACTTGATTCATGCTGAATGAACTAGCACTGTCTACAGGTCCTTTCTGAGGACCTCTTGATTGGGATCCCTCTCCCAACGATCCTATTCCGAAAACTTTTTGCATTTGTCCAACATGCTCATCACCCAGTCCTCCGATTCCAGAAGCATGGATTGCCTGTGTCGCACCTATTTGTTCTTTTGATACTACATGGTAACCGTTGAGGAGCGATCCTTCTTTTGCTGGTTGAGCTGATTCTTCATTAAAATTGGAGGGAAGTTTTGGCGTTTTCTGAACAGACATTAAGGCAGATAAAGAACTTGGGACGGGAGAGCCGTTTCTAATGGACGACGACAACTTTGCTATCAAATAGTTTGCAAGTTTTTCATTTGATATTGTTTTGATTACGATATATTTGCCTGGTTCGTCTGTTGATTGAACAAGTACATGTTCTCCGTTACTGTTCAATACAATATGGTACTTTGGTTGATTTGAAGATTGTATAGCACTTCCTGTGTTTTGTCCTCTGTTTTGAGTTACTGTTCCACCATTCTGTGATCCTGAATTTCCCCCATTCTGGTTCGCAGATCCCCCGTTATATGTCTCTGTTCCTATATTCTGAGCCGTTCCCCCATTATGTGTTCCTACTCCACCATTCTGACTTACAGTACCCCCGTTCTGTGTCTCTGTTCCTATATTTTGGTTTGTCGATCCCCCATTTTGTTTTTCTGTTCCACTGTTTTGTGTCGCGGTTACTCCGGCCTGTATTCCGCCATTCGGTATTTTTGAACTTGTACTTTGGCTCACACTTCCTCCATTTTGAATCAAGGATCCAGTTCCGGTCAAGGTTGTTCCGGTATTTTGTGTTGATGCTCCACTATGCAGTGTTTCCCCATTTTGCGCTCCAGCTAAAGCAGTACCACCATCTTTTATTTCATTCATGGTTGTTCCATCAGTTTGTTTACCAACTGTTCCTCCGTCTTGATTCATTTTCCCACCATTGTGCGTCATGCCATTATTCCCTATTTCTAAATTTTGTAAAGGATGTGCAGTTCCTTGTCCAATCGATGCCATTGGATTATGATGTGGGAGAATTGTTTCAGACATAACAGCCTCGGGATTGTATCCCAAGTTTTGAAAGAGCTCGTGGTTCAAGTGATTTGGATTGAAGCCATGTTCCGTGTCAGTTGTACCTGACATTGGATTTGCGACTGGCTTAGGCATATGCATTGAGCTTATAGGTAAAGAGAAAGTTGAAGGTGTGCCCACTCCAAGCCCAAAATTGTGTTTTTCAGTGCTAGGTACTAAATTACTGATTAATGTGTTTGCACCTAAGTTGTTGTTCGAATGAGATTCATCGGGCATTCCCTGGTTGAGCTCCTCCTTTGTTGTATGGATGCTTCCAAGCGATCCAACATCTGTCGACTCTGACACATACTTATGTATATTCTTATTAGGATTGTAACTGGAAGCAAACTTCCATATTTCTGATTGGTGTCCAGCAAACATGCTCTGACCATTCGGGTCGAACCCATTCAATTCAGCATTGATGTTTCCAGTCTGAAGCATACCCCCAAGCGGGGGAGTTTTCTGGAAATAAGCTTTCGCTGCCTCTTTAACATCTATTGGGTTGTAGGAACCGAACACATTTTGATCTGTTCTCATTTGCATAAACTGCTGCATTAGTTTGTTAGGGTCAAACGGATGTCCACCATCTTGACCTTGTGATAATGCGACTGAAATATAAATCACACTTGATAATTAATGTAGAAAATGTGGATGCACAAATTATTTCGTCATACAATCGCAGCCTGTATCGGGAAAACAAGGACTTCTTATGAAAAGATTACAAGTAATCGTTTTTATTTGTCCATATACTATGAAGTCTTTGGGGGGGGGGGGGTCGTTGCTTTTGTAGTATGAAGAGACCAATGAACTGAAGTCCACCACGCAATGTTTAAATTTCAGACTACAATAATATCATGTTTCTTTTTCAAATACAAAATTCAATCCCCAATATGTTTTCTTTAACTACAAAAATTTGACCTCACGAAAATAATTGATTTTACAGTATTTTACGGCCTTTCCCAAAAATAGACACAAAACCGTTATATGAAAGATGACCACTTAGATGTTATCGCAGGTGACGCAATCATTTCTTTAAACACTTTGTAATTATGCTTTCATTTTTAATAAATGAAAAATTTAATGACATATTGAACCTGTTAGAACCTACTGTTAAATTCTTTTAAAACGCAAACTTTCATCAAGTACTTTGGTTTATTGGCTCTTTGTAATTGTGGACTCAACATATAACTATTTGAAAAAAAAAGTATACTTATACCTTTCAAAGAATTTCCAACAAACAAACAAACACACAACATATAATAATATACAGGGATCATGATCTTTTCCTTCCAGCTCGGATTGTTTGACAATGACGACTCGAGGGCAGCTGTGAATTTATCTTATGATATCATTTTCATGACAAAAATTCCAGATAGCAGTGCGCCATTGCGACATCCAGATACCAACGGTAGAGATAGGTTGTACAAATCCGGAAGCGATTCAAAATACAGGCACATTCCCAAAAGGAGTGGTCTAAGGGTGTTCGTGATGTTTCGAAACATAGATGGGGAGCCTCACACATAACAGATAATCGAAAAGATCATCTGTTCGTATGATCAGGACTATTTCTTCAACTCATTTAAGATACAACTTCATACAATATAATATTCAAATACAAACACATGATGAAAATTTTGTTTTATATTCATTTTAAAAATTATACTAATCAGGATTTTTGACTTGTCTTTTCTCGGTTTATGCCCTTGAGATCAGAAGATCATTGACGAAATTTAATATTTATTGCACATTTATTTTGGTCAAAGGAAATACATTGCATTTTGACAATTCCACTTGTGACTTTACTTTTGTTTGGGCTTTCATTATTTCTTTTTTAGGAATGCATTTTCAAAGTTATGTCGGTCAATATCCTCGTACCTCTTCATTCATTAAAAGTAACAGACCTTCGCCCCTTCGGCTCCATTACTTTTTAAGGAATGGAGAGGTACCCGGACATTAACCTATACTGAGTGACTGTGCTGAGTAAACGTTTTCCAAGATTTTTTTTTTACGATTTAGATATTTAGATAAGGTGCCATGCAGGAAATCGTCTAAACTGGCCCGATTTATATACGAAAAATGGAATTAGATTTCGCTACCTTCAACCGGGGCTGCTTTTCAGGTCGATTTTCATACTCAAAGCGCAATAAATTTCAAACTCAACACCTACGATCGCATAGTACTTCACTCACCAATATCGTTTTGATTTGTTTTATATACGACATTCAGTAAGCATTTATCAATTCAAGGGTTTGAATTGATTTCGAGCTTTCAAAAAATCTTAATTGACAGCACTTTCGTAACGTTGTAAGCTTTTGTTATCAAATGTTTGGCAATATTTCTTGAAAGCAATTTAAGTGACTGGCTATGACATTGTGAGATCTGTAAGGTTGCGCATTTGAAATTTTTGGCAAATATGGAATTCTGCCTCTCGTTGGAGACGAGGAAATTTCCAGTTTTCATACTGGTGCTGATTCTGAAACTGCAGGAGAAGTGTTTTGAAAGAATTTCTCCAAAAAGAAATCTAATTTCAGTAACTATGTTTTGAAAGAATTTCACAAAAAATTCTAAATTTAGTAACTGGGACAGCGCCATTCGTCGTTATCAAAAGCCCGTAATACAAATTATGTATCTTCTTGAAGTCTCCTGGACTGCCTCAAAGATAGTAATAGATAACCTATACACTGTAAAAACTGAGTTTAGAAAATAAACACTTCCATTACGTGTTTAGACCTAAACATGTTTAATATTATGTTTAAAAACTAAACACTTACGTCTAAACATGTGTTATATCTAAGCGCGTTTAGCTATAAAACGTGTTTAGATATAAGTGTTTAGAAATTGAACACTTTCTTTGAAATACAGAGTTATCTTCCCGGAAATGACGCGTATTTATTTGAGCGTTAATTAGAGCGGTTATGGAAACAAAGAAAATCCCAATGTAAGCTAAAGATGTATCAAAGGATGTGAATGATAACCAAAGTGATAAACCATGAAGAGATTGTGAAGTACATTTGAAAGGCATCTTATTACTTCTATAAAAGGTCTGTTTACTATTTTTATTTTACATGAATTGACCACAATGAGCAACGTAAATAAACATGCAGTTACACATGAATGTAGATCAAGATTTCCTTCGGTTATTTTGCATTCATGAAAGCTAGAAAAGAGTATCTATACCGAATTTCATTAAAAACATCTAGATCAGTATTAGTACTATATATATAGTAGTTAAATGAGTTTCACTAAAAGTTGCACAATAATGTCTATCAAACAAATGTAAAATTTCAGTGAGGAGCATACTCTTATTATAATTTTAATTTCTTTCTTACAGGATATGGTCCAGATCGAACTTAAAAGCAAAAACACATGTATCAGAATAACTGGTGTCATCTTCAAGTTCAAGTGCATTTGTTGTTACAATTCAGCATTTCTCACATTCTAGAGGAAACCGGAATTTAAAAAGTCTACTGTTCGGTAGTTTTGAATACCATTCTTGTACATTGGAAATGGATTAATCCCTGATTCCTGACAGTCATGGATGGATACAAATCATACACTGTTTGTGTTGCTAGTGAAGGACTTGCTCAACATAATAAATTTGATGAACCTTTTCTTACTGATGTGAGGAGAAACTGCTTGCTGAGCTGATTAATATTGAAATTAACTATAATAAATGATTATGTTTAAGCATACATGTATATTTAATTTAATTTTTTTTTTTATAATAAATCTATTTTTAAATGTTCAGTGATGTTATTGTTAGTTGTTCCTTTCTTGTGACATGGGTACCTCTGAAGTTAAAAATTTTGTTATCTATATGTACATACCAGTGCATTAATATACTGTATTTCTAGAAACTTATCAAATACATTCAGTTTTCTTGGAATTGTTTATCATGTAAACAACTAGAACCAATGTTGTAGAACTAAACATGTTCAGCAACTTAACACCTGAAGTTTAAATGTGTTTAGAAATGAGACGTGCTTAGAGCTAAACGCGTAAAAAAAGTGAAACAAATTATGTGTTTAGCTAAAAGTGTTTAGGGAGTAAACATGTTTAGCTACTAAACACATGAAGTCTACGTGTTTAGAAATGAGACATGTTTAGAACTAAACGTGTAAAAAAAGTGAAACAAATTATGTGTTTAGTTTTGTGTTTATGATCTAAACACTGTTTTTACAGTGTAGCTGCTAGACTAGATATCAAAACCGACTGAATGCACTGTATGAAATGATACTGGTTTCTCTGTAAAACTACGTAGTTACCAATTTCATCAATCAAGACGGACTTAGACAAACGGACCCACGACGGTTAGGTTAAGCAACATAATGAGTAACCAGAAGTCTCTGATGAGACTGTAGCTCTACTGGTCTGTCCATATAACAAAGGAAAAGTAGCACTTGGATTTGAAACTTTGCAACATGCAGCAATAAATAGAATAATGTATCTTAATGTAGTCTACGTGTGCACCAAGTTATATTGAAATCAGACCAAAACTGAAGGAGGAGTATCATTTTAAAGAAATTTCACAGAATTTTCTATTTTTAGTAACCATGGCAGAACCGTTCGTCGAAATCAAAAACCGATGCACTAAATTATGTATCTTTAGTTAGTGTAGTCTACTTGTTTGCCAAGTTATTTTAATATCAGACCAAAACTGAAGGAGGAATAGCCTTTTACAGAAATTTCTATTTTTAGTAACCATGACAACACCGTTCATCGAAATCAAAAACCGATGCACTAATTATGAATCTTAGTGTAGTCTACTTGTGTGCCAAGTTATATTGAAATCAGACCAAAACTGTAGGAGAAGTAGCATTTTAAAGGAATTTCACAGAAATTTCTATTTTTAGTAACCATGGCAACACCATTCATCGAAATCAAAAACCGATGTACTAAGTTATGTATCTTAGTGTAATCTAGTTGTGTGCCAAGTTATATTGAAATCAGACCAAAACTGTAGGAAGAGTAGCGTTTTAAAGCAATTTCACAGAAATTTCTATTTTTAGTAACCATGGCAACACCGTTCAGGGAAATCAAAAACCGATGCACTAAATTATGCATCTTAGTGTAGTCTACTTGTGTGTCAAGTTATATTGAAATCAGACCAAAACTGTAGGAGGAGTAGCATTTTAAAAGAATTTTACAGAAATATCTACTTTTAGTAACCATGGCAACACCGTTCATGGAAATCAAAAACTGATGCACTAAATTATGTATCTTAGTGTAGTCTACTTGTGTGCCAAGTTATACTGAAATCAGACCAAAACTGTAGGAGGAGAAGTGTTTTGAAAAATTGTTTACAGACAGACGGACAGCTAGACAGACAGACAGACGGACACCTTACTATCGCATAAGCTCTTCTGGTCTCTGACCAGTACAGCTAAAAAACTTGTGTTCTTTTATGGTATTTGCATCATAATTAAAAAAAATCATTTTAAAAAAAGTGTGAGTAAAGCGAAGTTTTGACAAACTCTACTGCACAGAAAAGCATGCAAGGAGTGCAAAATATACATGTAAGTGCCGGAAAAAGCAAGCATTGTTGATATCATTTATCTCATTGACACGGGACTTTTATTTATAGCGTAAAAATCATAAACAACACTGAATTGGTAAGGAATAAAGTAAGGAATTTGTAACTAGCCAAGTAAGAGTAATCAACATGAGAATCAAAATTCAGGCCCCCATGACACCTCAAACAAGGTCACCTGTCAACAACTTCCCTCTTGGATTGATATCTCAAGAAAACCATTTCTGAACAGACATTAAAACTCAAGCATTTCACTGTTTTAATCACTTACTGCATACAGTAAAATAATCTACCAATTACAATCATTTACAGAAAAAAAATCTTCAATCAAATATAATTCATATGCATAACGATTGTTTATTTTAAATTGAAATATAACTTTCTGTAAAAAAGACACTAAAGGCTTCAGTGGATCACTAACAAATATCACATAACCTACATACTAGTATATATGTATGTTCTTACAACCAGTAATGAGAAAAATATCATGGACGGTTAGTCTGAGATTTTCAAGAATTATACAAATGTTAATAAATACATACAAAATATAAATACATGCATATAATACATTAAATAAAATGGCAAATTCTAACAATTGTTTCAAACAACTGGCGACTTTGTCACACATTTACATAACCTTGGAATCTTTGATAATTATCACTGGATTTAAGCATTATATCAGGAACCGTTCATCTACTAAGGTTTTCTTTGCTAAGTTTTTCCTTCCCCCGTGATCTCGCACCAAAGCAACAAGCTGTAACAAATATTGTAAACAATACAGATAAAGAATTTGAAACAGCACACTGTACAAAGTGAATTCACGTACAGGAGAATGCTGGTGTTCTTGAGAAGGTTTTTAAATATATTCCTATACATTTTAATGTAACCTTTGGACATTTAGGATATAAGTAGGATACAAATCCTAATCATCAGCATCTGTGGATACTTAATGTCAAATTTGGTTGAAATCGACCCAGTGTTCTGGAGAGGAAGTCAAAAGGTTGAAAAACAGACAGCAATAGTCTACCTGAATGATCATGTGTCCTAAAAATCTATTTTAAAAGGGCTATTCTCCTTTAACTTCAAGAACGTTAAGAATGTTTGGCACTTTGTTCTGTTTTTCATTTCTCCTCTTTATTGTCAAAAATGATAATCAAACATTAAACTTAGCCTTTTAGCAGAATAATATCTTCTACAGAATCTGTACATACCTCTATAATGATGTAAGTGATGATTCCTGAGAGTACAAAGTTTGTAGCAATGAGATCGATGATACAGAAAAGTAAGGTATCAAACAGAAGTAGCGTGATCTCATTCCCGTAGAACAAACACTGGTCAAAGGAATGTCCATCATCTGCAAAAAATATATACAAGATTCACTTAAAAGACCAAAAATAAATAAAGATCCATAAAATAATTACTGTGCTGACAAAAGCAAAATGAAAATCAATTAAAAAAAATCATTATAATGAAAAAATTTAGATGTCGAAACATGTTTGTAAGAATTTATGAGAGAGAGAGATCGAGAGAGAGAGATCATACCATTGTAGAAGTATCCCTTTTCTGAAGCATCCATAAACTCTGTATCCATAATGCTCTCCAGAAGTGTTTTATCTCTAACTTGGTAGTCTAGATTCTTCAAAGACTGCAAGGAATATATCACTTGTTTAGTTTTTATTTATCCATTTTTTTTTTTATTATACACAAATAAAATTTTTCACCACGTAAATTTGTACTGAAATTGCAGACTGAAACATGCAAGAACAGTGTAGAACTTTGTGTCATTCTTACCACTGGTCAAATTACTTACATGGTCAATAAAAGTAGATAAGAATTTATTAATGACATTGTAGGCTTCCACTTGTTTGTCTGTTAATCCTCCCTTTTCCTTCCCTGCTTGTGGGCCTCCACCTGCCCCCTGTAAAGGTTACAACAAATTTGAAATCAGCTATCAACAGGTTCCCTTATATAAACCTTGATTCTACTAAACAATGCCTACCTCCAGGTTCCCTTATATAAACCTTGATTCTACTAAACAATGCCTACCTCCAAGTCCACTTATATAAACCTTGATTCTACTAAACAATGCCTACCTTCAGGTTCACTTATATAAACCTTGATTCTACTAAACAATGCCTACCTCTAGGTTCCCTTATATAAACCTTGATTCTACTAAACAATGCCTACCTCCAGGTTCACTTATATAAACCTTGATTCTACTAAACAATGAATACCTCTAGGTTCCCTTATGTAAACCTTGATTCTACTAAACAATGCCTACCTCTAGGTTCCCTTATATAAACCTTGATTCTACTAAACAATGCCTACCTCCAGGTTCCCTTATATAAACCTTGATTCTACTAAACAATGCCTACCTCCAGGTTCCTTTATATAAACCTTGATTCTACTAAACAATGCCTACCTCCAGGTTCCCTTATATAAACCTTGATTCTACTAAACAATGCCTACCTCCAGGTTCCCTTATATAAACCTTGATTCTAGTAAACAATACCTACCTTGAGGTTCATTTATATAAACCCTGATTCTAGTAAACAATGCCTACCTCCAGGTTCCCTTATATAAACCTTGATTCTAGTAAACAATGCCTTTCTCCAGGTTCCCTTATATAAACCTTGATTCTACTAAACAATGCCTACCTCCAAGTCCACCTATTTAAACCTTGATTCTACTAAACAATGCCTACCTCTAGGTTCCCTTATATAAACCTTGATTCTACTTAACAATGCATAACTCCAGGTTCCCTTATATATACCTTGATTCTAGTAAACAATGCCTACCTCCAGGTTCCCTTATATAAACCTTGATTCTACTAAACAATGCCTACCTCCAGGTTACCTTGTATAAACCTTGTTTCTACTAAACAATGCCTACCTCCAAGTACCTTGTATAAACCCTGTTTCTACTAAACAATGCCTACCTCCAGGTTCATTTATATAAACATTGATTCTATTAAACAATGCCTACCTCCAAGTCCACTTATTTAAACCTTGATTCTACTAAACAATGCCTACCTCCAGGTTCCCTTATATAAACCTTGATTGTACTAAACAATGCCTGCCTCCAGGTTCACTTATATAAACCTTGATTGTACTAAACAATGCCTACTTCCAGGTTCCCTTATTTAAACCTTGATTGTACTAAACAATGCATATCTCCAGGTTCACTTATATAAACCTTGATTGTACTAAACAATGCCTATCTCCAGGTTCACTTATATAAACCTTGATTGTACTAAACAATGCCTACCTCTAGGTTCACTTATATATACCTTGGTTCTACTTAACAATGCCTACCTCCAGCGCCACAGCAAGAAGGACCTCTTCGTACTTCAGACGAAGTTTCCGAGGTAAAGTCATGACAAATGTCTGCTGCTCTGTGTTCGGGAGAAGCCCTCTCTGGCCCACTAAATCTTTCTGAGAGAAAAAAAGTCAAACTTGGTGTACTATATTTTTAAAAAAATCGCTAAAACTTACAAAAGAACAAGAATTGTTTAATGATATAGACATAAAAAAAAAAACAAAGCAAGTTATCACTCTGGTGTCACAGGAGAAGGTCTTTGGTAATTACAGTGGAATCATTGTTTGTGAGGGTTTAATGTTTATGGATTTTGTGGATCACCCTTACCTATGAATTTACATCCCAACAAACATTAACTTTGAAAATGCACAAGTTCTTTTATTTTCTTAATACAGGAGTTACCCACTAAATGACTTATAAAATTTTGGTTATCCACGAAAATTGACTCCACAAATTAAAATGATTCCACAGTATTTGACATATGTATACTGTTTATGGAACATTGGGCACTTTGTAATGTAGCAAAATAAAACTGAAAGTCATATAGTGTCCGGCAGTGTACATATATATGAGAGTGCATTTATATATTATTTTATGCCAGGATTTCAGTGAACAGAAAAACTAATTTAAGCCTCTAACTCAGGTGAGCTGAAGAATAATCAACAGTTCCTGTTCTCCTGGTTATTGAAATCACATAATATCACAAAGTCATCATACCTCTTCTCTTTTCATCATCTCAAACATCTCCTTCATGTTTGTGTCTGCCTTGCCGTAGACTGAACGGCCGTGAATGTAGTAACCATACTGAGCATGGTGCATGATAAAGACGCTGATGTTAGCCATGGAACACAGGTCCACAAAGTCACGAACTTTGTCCTCAAAGAATCTCTCATAGATAAGTGTAAAAAATAACCACTGCACAAATGCTGAAAAAGGAAATGTTTTAATTAAGATTTTATTTGAGCCACTGAAATATAAAGCTAAGGTATAACACCCAACAAATTCTTGATTTTTTACATTTTGCTTTTTCTCAAGTAAAATTTAAAATTCAATTTTCCAAATTAATCTTGACAATGTAATTTGAGTTTTAAATGTAAACACAAATACATTAATTAATTATTTCATAGCTTAATAAAGTGATAAACATTGAGCAAAATAATTAATAATTCAAAAAATGTGGTCTTGGTATGTGCACATTACACTGCATCTTCAAACATTGCTAATGTTATGGATTTTATTCTGATTCATATTTGTTTATTTTGAAACAGAAATAAACAGAATGCTCACCAACAAGAAGATAGACTAGAGCCCCCACTGCATATCTAAACATTGTGTCATATGGAGCCTGGTAATCTGATGAACTCTTCACCACCTTGCCATTGGGGTCTTTGGTGGCCACATTCTCAAACCCAACATAACTTAAAAAGAAGACTACTGCAAAGATCTGGAAAATGTGGTTTATTTTCCTACATGTCTGAATTTCATTCCACTCATTGGCTGCAAAGTATGTCCTCCAAATGGACACAGGATTCTCTTTCTTGCTGCCATCAGATTTGACTCCCAGAGTTCCCTTTGGTTTTTCCCAGTCAATGAAGAAGATATCTACTGTGCATTGTGATGCTATCATGTGAGCGATTTGGAGACATTTCAGAGCAAAGGCTGATCCAAAGAGACCCAGCCACTCCTCATAGTAGACACCATCCAACAGGAATAAATACACATAATTCTGTCTCTGTAGAGAAAATCAAAGGTTTGGGTTACTACATGTATAATACATGTAACTGACTAACTTTCATCCCATTATAACTCTATTATTGAAATGATAATTTTTAGAGCATAACAGTAGCTTTTTTATCCTGAAATAAATGGAATTTCTACATTTCCTAGATTTATACGATTATAAAATTGCCATCTCTGGATGGTATCTTAATTTTCCTTCTGGAACTGTTAAATTTAAGAAAAAAATACAGTTAAATGAATTAAGAAAAGTAATCAATTTTTTTTTAGAAAAATTACATATTGTTATCAGAATATAAAATAAACAAGAAACCCACAGTTTTAAAAATAATTACTTGTATGTACAAGTATTTCCATTATACAGTGTGTGGATTCTGTGAAAAGGGAATCTTAACGGACTTACACAAGGAAATTATTAATAAAACGAACTTATAGGCCCATTCATTGAGTTTCTGACACATAAACTTACTTTGTAAAAGATGAGAAAGTAAAATGCTATTCCAAAAGTGATGACAAAGAAGACATTGGACAAGACTCCACTAACATAAAACACAAAGTTGATGATCGAAGCAAAATCAATGGCGAGACGCCCAGCTCTCTTTGACCACACCCAAGTTTTATATCCTGCCAAAATCACTCCCAATGTTGACAGTGTTCCCACAGCAATCTGGAAATCTTTCCTGTATGAATCTAATCCCATGTTATACTTCACTTTGAAAGTAGGCTGTAAAACAGAATCATTTGTGCAAAATATCTTAGCATCATACAAAGGTCACATGATAAGTAAAATAGTATCATAAATTTCAAAGAAAATGAAATTGATTTGTATATGGTTAAAATTAAAACTACATGTATATCAAGTATTTTAACACCATTTATGTAAACAGATATTGGTTACACACTGTAAATTTTAGACATAGGACATCATATCTCTTTACGTACACTAATGGAGGCCCCTGCCTGGGCATTGATGAGTGACACCTGGTCATAAGTGATGGTCATCAGTGGGGGGTATATACGTCCATTTGGCAGAGAGCTGTAGAGGTTGATGGAAATCTCTATACTCTTGGCATATCTGACATACTGAGGCAGGGACGGTGTGGGTGTAGTACCGCCTACAACAAAAAGGTAAAATAACTCAGTAACCAGTGGTCATTTTTAAAAAAAAAAAAAAAAAAATTATTTACAATGTATTATCTGATAAGTAATCAACATCCATGATTTTCTGAAACTTTACATAATTTTTTTTAAGTGCATGAAAAATAAAAGAAAAGAATTTGCACACCATTTCTGAAACAAATTAATACATGTACCAAGGATACTTCATTTTGCATTATTTTTCATAAATCTGTTGTAGAGTTCCATACAAAACTTGTGAATAAGGAATTTATCCAGCTTAAAAACCTATTAAACAGAGGTACTGAGATGTCTGAACTAAACAGAAGTACTGAGATCTGGATTAAATAAAACTACTGAGATGTTTGGACTAAATAAAACTACTGAGATGTTTGGACTAAACAGAACTACTGAGATGTCTGGACTACACAGAACTACTGAGATGTCTGGACTACACAGAACTACTGAGATGTCTGGACAAAACAGAACTACTGAGATGTTTGGACTACACAGAACTACTGAGATGTTTAAACTAAACAGAACTACTGAGATGTCTGGACTACACAGAACTACTGAGATGTCTGGACTACACAGAACTACTGAGATGTCTGAACTACACAGAACTACTGAGATGTCTGGACTACACAGAACTACTGAGATGTTTGGACTACACAGAACTACTGAGATGTCTGACTACACAAAACTACTGAGATGTCTGGACTTAACAGAACTACTGAGATGTTTGGACTACACAGAACTACTGAGATGTTTGGACTACACAGAATTACTGAGATGTCTGGACTACACAGAAGTACTGAGATGTCTGACTACACAGAACTACTGAGATGTCTGACTAAACAGAACTACTGAGATGTCTGGACTACACAGAACTACTGAGATGTTTGGACTAAACAGAACTACTGAGATGTCTGGACTTAACAGAACTACTGAGATGTCTGGACTACACAGAACTACTGAGATGTCTGGACTACACAGAATTACTGAGATGTCTGGACAAAACAGAACTATTGAGATGTCTGAACTACACAGAATTACTGAGATGTCTGGACAAAACAGAACTACTGAGATGTCTGGATTACACAGAACTACTGAGATGTCTGGACTACACAGAATTACTGAGATGTCTGGACTACACAGAAGTACTGAGATGTCTGGACTAAGTCCAGATACTCACCTCCAGATGTGTCTGCTCCTGTTGTGACCACGTTATCCACGAGGAAAAATCTCCGCGTCAGAATCCAGTCCCTGGTACTGGATCCTAAATGGAACAATAGCAACTTAAATAATAAATAAATACTATCAACATTCATGATATTTACTTCAATCACAGAATTATCAATTCACATTAGTGTTAGGAAGTGGAATAATAGTAACCACACAAAAGTTATATCAATGAGTGGGTTCACAATGCACACATAAGTGAAAGTACAATGCCTGAATGAACACAAAACTGTAATTATGAATGGATACAAAATTGTAACTGTGGATAGACATACAAGTGTGTAACAAATGAATGGCCACAAAAAAGTAACAAATGAGTGGCCATAAAGGTTACAAATAAGTGGCCACTAAGAGTCATAATACATACTGGTACTTGTAAAAGTGTAACAATGAAAAGAAACTTATTGATTCTAATGATCCCTGACTACCTGTATTCACTTTGTCGCCTCCAAATACCAGGTTGTTGATTTTCACAGGGGCGGCATACAGTTGGTTTTCTCCATTCCTAGTGAGCTCAATATCTTGTTAAAGTTAAGGATGAAGTGTGTTTACTGTACACAAAATAATAAAGGTCTACACTGCTATTTAATCATTGTAACTATCCTTAAAAAAAAGTATGTTTATACTTGTTGACTGACTTCATACAAAGGATACATAAATCATAGAACTCCAGTTGGTATTTCTGGGTGTCCCAAAGATCTATTGCAGGAATGGAACACTGAAACAAGGAGGGAGCCATTAACAGTTTATAATACACATATGTAACTGCTGCTTGTACAACAAACATAAATATTTTCTAAATTTTGAAAATTTTGTACTCTATAAAATCAACCTTATCTTGAAAAATGACTTTTGTTAACTTGTCAATTTTCCCAAGTTTACAAGGAAGCGACTTTGCATGGAGTTACAATGTTAAATGGATAAAATATAATCCAGTTTTATATTTTTGAAAAAAAATAAAAAGCTTTCAACACTTACAGACTGTTCATAGTAAGTGCCAAATGTATAGGCTGCATTGAGTCTTGAGGTAGTGTCAGAGCAGAGCTGAAGTCGTCCACCTGTTACCTCAGATGTGCCCAGGTAAGTGCCATTTAAAGTGTACCTTCCTACACGATATTCCAGGTAAGACACAGGACTAAAGGTATACTCTGTGGTCAGAGAGTCGTCGTCTAGGATTCTGTCCCCTTCCTGAGAGTAATACAGCACAGGTAGGTATGCATTCCTGTAAGGAAATAAAGAACAGTTAGGTAAGCATTCCTTTAAAAAAAAAAAAAAACACAGGTAGGTAAACATTCCTGGAATGAAATAAAACACAGGGAGGTAATCATTCCTGTAAGAGAATAAAACTCTTTTTTGTGCTTTTTCAAACAGCCACATCTTTAAAATTTCAGCTGAAGATGTGGCTGTACTGCTTCATAGAAAAAAAAACATCCCTCATAATTTAGTATGCAAGAGTTTTACAATGTTAAATGGATAAGCCATACTTACCAATCCTGTCCTAGGGTGTCAGGTAGGTTTTTGTCAGGGATCTTTCTGTATAGGTTACAAGTCTTAGTCTCGCTGAGAGAGGAATCATATTCATACCACGACAACACACAAAGGTTACTTAGAATCTGACAAGCCGTGGAGTTTACAAAATCCTATAATAATAATAGTTTGATATGAAGCATTGTATTTTATCCAGGTGGTGATATACAAAAATCTTGACAGAATCCATCTAGTAACATTCTATTTCTCATGTTATACCGAGTTGAAATTTATTTATCATTGATTAAAGAAAAAGATAACAAGATAAAAATCAGTATAGTATTGCAGCATTTTATAGCAAAGAATGAGCGTTATTTTAGTGTTACCAATTATGACAAAAATATAGTTCCCTATAGTTTATGAAGTCCACATTGTAATTTCCCACATCAAATGTTACAATTGTATAGGTAAAAGAAAAAAATGAAGTTTAATGCAGCTAGAGTATTGAGAAACAGAATTTATTTGTGCCCTAACTACTCAGTAATGACTTCATACATGAGATAAAGTAGCACTGATTATCAGTTATAAAAGTGACTTACTCGACACATAAGATAAGCTGCCTGTACATGTTCTCTCACATATGTCGACTCAGCTGTTCCACTCTGTAGACATAAAGATACAGTACAATATAACTAACAAACATAAAAACTGTAAAATTAAGAACATCAAACAATATGTAGAAACTAGTTTTGTCAACTACATACTTGGTTAACATCGAACAATGCAAACGGTTAGTAAAATTGCTACTCGGTTACTTGGATATATAGACAAAAGTAGAAAATAAATGTCATTTTGTTCATAAAAGAATACTTACAAGCTCCCCATTAACTGTTATTATGTTCCCCAAACGAAGTTTGGGAACATATTGTTTTTACTCTGTTTCTTATTATTATTAGTTCTTCCGTTTTCAACGGAAGACCTATAGTGATTCTACTGTTTCTTATTATTATTATTATTATTATTATTAAGGTCTTCCGTCTTCACGGAAGACCTTATAGTGATTCTACTGTTTCTTATTATTATTATTATTTTTTTCCCCAAAATTTTGTGCAGGCGATTTCTCAAAAACTATTCAGTGGTTTTAAATGAAACTTTCAGGAATTATGTGTCGTCAAATGGACTTTGTTCATCAGAAGGAAAATTTGGAAAACTCGCTTCCGGTGCCAAGTTATTGACAGTTTTCTGATTTTAAAATGAAATTTTGTCCCCCCTTTTCTGAAAAAATGGTTTAAGATATGAACTGGAGACTTGTTAGAGATGATAGGTTATGTCTTCTAGATGAGGGGAATCACCTTTTTGTGCGTCGTCAGTACTTCCGGTCGTTACCGGATGCGAATTTAAAAAAGTCGAATTTTTAAACTTTTTTGTTTTTCTATATTTTTCTTTTATTTTAATAAGGTTAATAGAGACTCTTCTGAAAATGCTAAATATATAATTTATTTTAGAATTGATCAATCCAAACTCTAGATATTCGCATTTCTAAATTTGAAGCGGGTCCAAAATGGCGGCTGTCTCCGTAAACTCCGATAAGTAGGTCAGAATTTACGGAGTCAGCCGAGCGTTTGTTTGAATGAAAGTACCATAAGGATCAAAGAAATGTTAAGGAATTGTTGGATTGTCACATCACAATTACGTTGCAATTCTGTTTCGAACTAGAGTTTTAATCCGGAGTTTCCTCAAACGTCTACTATAATTGTTCTTGTCTGTATCTCAAAGTAGAAAAACGACATGACTACAAGTGGAAATACGATAACTACAACCTTTTGTTTTACACCACGGAAAAACTGATCCTAAACCATGGTTATAAGTAATAGCTTTTCAAGAAACTTGCCTGACTAAAGCAATCAATATATAGTAATTATAACGTGGCCATTGTTTTTTCCCCATGCAGGCTTGTGTCATATTAAATGAACAGAAAAGACAAAAATAAGAAAACCATTTTTTAAAGATTGTTTAATGAAAATGATTTTAGTATTTTTTTTCTAAAAGATGTTGTTATTGAACATAAATGGTATCAGATTCCTTGTTTTTGGGCGAAACATTCCAGTCTTTCATGAATGTGTAACTAATCGGGATAGTCCACTTTGGGGGTAAACAGGAAAATAAAACTTGTAGAAAATCTTACCTAAATCACTGCTTTAGTGTTACTTATCCATACGATATATAATAAGTACAATATGATAAAAATACTTTCTCAAGCTCGATATTCAGGTTATAAGAACATACATTTTGAAATTTCATTGAAGCTATCACCATTCAATAGCAAATACATTCCAAAGGATATGCGCGAATATTTACCTGTGACGTTTCGCGCGAAATAATGTATCGTGATCAACCTTTCGTGGTAGACAAATGGTCTGATGCAGAAGTATATAGAAGTACAGAAAAGGATCACATGGACATGCCTGTATATGGAATTGCATGAAATAAAAAGTTGAATACATAAAGAATAAAAGAAAGTAAACAGAATCATCAGAGAATGGCTAAAGATATGAATATGAAACTTGCTGAGGTGATAGAGCATCAAATCTAGATATATTGATCGACCATTAATTTTCGTCGTTCTTACTTCCGGTCGCAAACGGAAGTGAATTCAAAAATGTTAAATTTGCAACTTTTTGTTTTTCAATATTTTTCTCTGGGATTTACAGTGTTAATAGAGAGTCTCCTAGGAGTTTTATGTATGTTTTCATCTTGTTGATTGAAAAAGTTTGCAGAGATTTTTATAAAATTCACTTCCGGTCGAGTGATTACCTGTTCTCAAAATTAGATTTTGTTCTCACAATATTGCTCGGCAACAGTAAACGACTGAAGTCTAAAACTTTCAGGTCTGATAGTCAGTCATCAGTTTATTTGAATCGTGAGAAAATCTTGTATCGCCGTACTTCCGATCGTGACAGGAAGTGATCCAAAAAAGTGAATGGTTAATCGGTAAGCTTTCTTGGATTTTCACGCTGAATTTCTTTTATCACTTTTTCAGAGTGAATTTTTGTTTTTATTTTCAGAATCGGACGGAAGACCTCTCATTGCTCGCAATGAGTTTCTAGTTATTATTATTATTTTTCATTTTTATTTTTTTGACCTTTTCAAATCGCGATATCTCAAAAACTACTCATTCATTTTCAGCCAAATTTTCAGGAATGATGTGTTATCTCATGCCATTTTGAAATATTGAAAAAGTTTGGAAAAAGTTACTTCCGGTCGGGAATTATTACGATTTTTTACTTTTTCCACTAAAAGTCTAGTCCATGAATGTTCTCAGAAACTGTTAAAGGTAGGAGTCTGAAACTTTCAGGTATGATAGAACTTGGTTTGTAGATGTGTGATGGAAACATTTCGTGTGTCGTCGTCACTTCCGGTTGTCACAGGAAGTGATTTAAAAAGGGTAATTTTTTGAACTTTTTTGTTTTTCATTATTTTTTTATGATGTTGATAGGCTAAATAAAGAGTCTTACAAGAATGCTAAATATGTAGTTTGTTTAAAAATTGATTAACCCATACTCTAAATATTTATCATTTTTCAATTTCCAGCGATGATGTTTGATAGTGTAATGGTTAGCATGTTGAATTTTCACGTGGGCGATCCGGATTCAATCGAAAGAATGTCCGAATTTTTTCTCACTTTTTGGGGCTCAAATATAAGATTTTATCTTTAGGGGGGGGGGGGGGGGGGGGGGGGGTGCTATGTCGTTCGACGTCAGAGCAGCGGTGTTTGACGGCACAATATCAGCGTGTCTTTTTACTCCCTCATAAAGAGTTTGCAGTTGAATTTTGCACTAATTAATGTGCATAGATGCAATTGTGATATTAAAAAAACGAGGAAAACATGTTGCTACAAATATATATGTAGCTAGATACCTATGCAATTGTATCTTAAATTGGAGAGTTGTCGAATTGTATTTTGAAAGTAGAATTTGTTACTTTCTCATGTTGATTGAATAACATATAGCAATTTCAAATGAGAGAAAAATAAACTTCAATGATATTTTTCTTTGATTTTAGAAGGGCAATATTCCTTTATAGATGCAAGTTACTGAACATAATAGGTATCAGATTCCTTGAGCGTCATATGGCGAGACGTGTTTTGTTGCGAAACATTCCAGTCTTTTCATTAATGTGTTACTAATTGGAATAATCCACTTTGGGGGTAAAGAGGAATATAAAATGTGTAAGAAAACTTAGCGCTGCATTTATGTTACTTGTCCGTATACGGTATGTTATATGTACAGTGTGATACATGTACATTCTTAGGCTAGAAAGTCACGCTATAGCAACATATTTTTTATAAAAATTTCATTGAAGCTATCACGTACACTTATTCAATTGAAGACACATTCCAAAGAAAAGGCGCGAAGATTTACTCGTGACGTTTGGCGCGAAATAATTATCTTGACCCGCCTTTCACAAATGGCCTGATGCAGTAGTGTAGAAGTACAAAAAAAGATTACACGGAAATGTCTGAATTTGGAATTGCATAGAATAGAAAGTTGAATGCATAAAGAATAAAGTTACTTCAGGGAATGAGTGCAAGGTAAACATCGATGATGGCTGGTACATTGCGCTAGTGTAGTGGTTTCAATATTAAAGAACAAGGTTCACTTAGGGCCTTTTTTGGCCCTGTGAATTTCAGAAAACCTGAAACTGCTTGAAACTATTTCTGAGGATTACAAAACCTGTTTTATTTTTTTAGATCAGAGGGTGTGCTCATATTATTTCTCTTCTGTGAAAGTACTCAAATATACTTATTTTCATTAAAATTCAAGAACATTGCAATTTCAGGAGCTCTGTTTGGCTATAAGGAGAAAATTTTCAATTGGAAATGAAAACACTAAGTCTCTACTTTATCTTGTTGTTTAAAATGGAACATAAAGTGTTAGTCAATAAATTGGTATATCTACAGGGCTATTTTATGCATAAAGTGAACCTAGCTCTTTTCGGGCAGCCGATCTTGGTTTAATCCCGACTATATCTGAATTTTTTGCTTAAATTTACGTTTTCATCTTTATCAATGATGTTGAACTTTGTTTTTCTCTTTGTGAATTCTGTGCTCTTTTTATTTTTTTTTTTATAAATAAAAAATCTTTTTAAAGACCCATGTTGAATTTTTAGGTGTCTTTACAACGAACAGATATAAATGTAATTTTACGTGCGAAGAATATCACAGTTAAGGATGGTTATTCGGACGGAAGACCTCTCGTTGCTCGCAACGAGTATCTAGTTATTAAGGTCTTCCGTCTTCACGGAAGACCTTATAGTGATTCTACTGTTTCTTATTATTATTATTCTTATTATTCTTATTATTATTTTTTTGACTTTCTAATTTTGTGTACGCGATTTCTCAGAGACTATTAAGTGGATTGGGATGAAATTTGCAGGGAAAACGTGTCGTAGGCTGAAGTTATTTTATCCGGGAGCAAATTCCAAAAATCACATCCAGTGCCAAGTTATGGACCATTTCCTGATTTTAAAATGAAATTTTGTCCAGGGATAATCTCAAGAACGGCTAAAGATATCAATGTCAAACTTTCATGAATAATAGATCGTGATAAAGACTTGCCGGGAAGCTTATTTTTGTACGCCGTCGGCACTTCCTGTCGCTACAGGAAGTGGCTTTCAAAAATCGATTTTTTCAATTTTTTTTGTTTTTAAATATTTTTCTGCGATATTAGTAGGGATAATAAAGCGTCTTATCGGATCACTAAATATATAATTTGTTTTAATGTTGATTCAAACATACTCTAGGAATTCGCTTTTTTCGTTTTAAGTCACTTTCTAATTTTGTGCACGCGATTTCTCAAAGACTATTGAATGGATTTAAATGAAATTTTCAGGAATAGTGTGTTGTAAAATGAACTTGATCTATCTGAGAGAAAATTTGGAAATTTACTTCCGGTGCCAAGTTACAGACCATTTTCTGATTTCAAAATGACATTTTGTCCGCGGATAATCTGAAGAACGACAAGAGATATCAATGTCAAACTTTCAGGGATTATAGCTCGTGATAGATACTAGCCGGGTAGCTACTTTTTGTTCGTCGTCGGCACTTCCGGTCGCTAACGGAAGTGATCAAAGAAATCGTAAAATTTCAACTTTTCTTTTTTAAATCAATACTTACATCACGTTATTGCATCTCTTTTGTAGTTTCGAAATATGTTAGTCCCACCGGAAACAAAAACGTCAACTTCCGTTTATAAGAGAAAAACTACATAATTTGAGTATTTTTCTTTCCCATTAATATCTTCTGTAGTTATTAATGTCTTTTGTAGTATTTGAAATGAATTCTAAATGTGTTATTTAGACTGCAAATGTCTAGAGTAACGTCAAGTATCTTAAGCTTTGTAAAATTCACTTCCGGTCGCGTGTTTTTCTGTCCTCAAAATGAGAAGTTGTCTGAGCAAGATCTCGGAAACGGTAAGAGATTAAGACAACAAACATATATGAGCAACAGACCTTAAGATGTAGGCAAAACCATTTGGGTTCAGAGCGTCAGCCCTCACTTCCGATCGTCACAGGAAGTGATCAAAGAAATCAAAATATTAATTTTTCTTTTTTAAATTAAAACTTGCATCACTTTTTTGCATCTCTTTCACTGTTTTGAAATATGTTAGATTCCACTGAAATCAAAAACGTCAACTTCCGGTTTTAAGAGATAAACTACGTTATTTTTATATTTAACTTTCTCATAAATATTGCTTATCGATAAAGTACTTGAAATAATTATATGCATGTTGTAGGTACTGCAAATGTCTAGAGAAAAGTCAGAGATTTTTCTAAAATTCACTTCCGGTCCTTGTCTACCTGTCCTCAAAATTAGAATCTGTTCTCAAGATACGGCTCGGCAACAGTAAACGACTGAAATCTAAAACTTTCAGGACTGATAGAAGGTCATCACTTTATTTGAATCGTGAGAAAATCTTGTATCGCCGTTACTTCCGGTCGTGACAGGAAGTGATGCAAAAAAGCGAATTGTTAATGATTAGCACGTTGGATTTTCACGTTGACGACCAGGGTTAAATCTCCAGAGTGTCTGAATTTCTTATATCACCTTTTCAGCTTGAATTTTCGTTTTGTTTTCAGAATCGGACGGAAGACCTCTCATTGCTCGCAATGAGTTTCTAGTTATTATTATTATTCTTTTTTTCTACTTGCTTCTCCGGTACTTTTTTGTCCGGGAGTGTTCTCATAGAACCACTCATCCGATTGACATGAAACCTTTTTAGGGTTAATAGGCATGTTGTGTAGGTGTTCGGAACGAAGGTCATTTTGCGCGCACATGCATGCACGTGCGCGCGCATGCAATGAGTGAAATGACTGATATACTTGATGAAGCCGTAACTTTTATATTTCTTGATGACTTGCTTTGAAACTCAAAATATAAAGATATATTAGTAGTCTAGACAAGATAACATGGTCAAATTAGCGTGAACTCACGCGCATGCACGTGCGCTCTTCTCTGATTGGCTGATACAAAAATCTCAATAATTTCCTTCTTTTTTGACAAAATACTTTGAAATTTAGAATATAAGTATATATTATAAGGTGCTACAGCATGTTATATAGGAAATTTCTTGAACACACGCGCATGCAGGTGTGCTGCAATCTGATTGGTTGAAACTTTAAATGTCTATAACTCCCTTGGTTTTCAACAAAACAGGATGAAATTTACTACATGGATAGGCACATAGAGCTCCTACATTATGATACTATCAAAATTGAATGCAAGGCCATGCATGTGCGTATGCTGAATTCTGATTGGCTATTACTTAAAGGGTTACATCTCTCTTATTTTTCAATGAGATTCTTTAATATTTAACACAAATGTATGTATTGTGAGACACTATAAGAAAATTAATGTGAAAAATGTAAAAAACATGTGCAAGCACAGGCGCTGAAATTTGATTGGCTAATACCCATATGGCTATATCGGAGTAGTTTTCCAATGAAATACCCTTAAAAATAAAGTGTCCATCTATATTACAAAAGTATTGTCTAATTTATTGAAGCTTGTAGGGAATGGGGCATCATAAGGGATTGGGGAGCCGTTTGGGGAACATCTGTAACGGTTCCCGTTACAATTAGCACTAGTTTAATGTTAGACTTTATCTAGCGTTCCACCAATATGACCAATTTGTTTTGATTTCACTTAGTTTTCACAGTGTAATTAATTAATGTTTTTGATTGACAAGGCATGTACAAGTTTAGAAGACATGAGTTAATTAAAATTACACATGTACCTTACCTAAATTGTGCTAGTCAGCAGCACATGATTTAACAAGATGTCACCACAGCCATCAAAAGCTTAGATGCCGAAATATTTTATAAGAAGTAAAAATTTGTAAGGTATAAAATTAATAACAAGGAAACATAACACTGAAAACAGGGATTCATACAGGACACCTCGAACCCCCCCCCCCCCCCAAAAAAAAAAAAAACAGCCAACTATTACAGGACAAAATTTAGAAGTTTCTGTTGTGTCTTTTTAATTATAAATAAGAAGTGCATATAAAGTGCATTTGCCATTTATATAGGCCGGTATATATATATGATAAATCCGGAAATTGTAATAAAAGGTAAGAGTATCGGATACAGGCAGATTTTGAAAGGCCTGACACCAGTAGAAACATTTTTCTTTGTTGGGAAATGACTGAAACATTTAATTTCATTGTTTGTTTACCTTGCTACATGCACAGTAGTATTGATATAAAATTAGATCAACATACTACCCTCCCTTCCCCTCCCCCTCCACCCCCCCTTTTCCTTAGATTGAGTGGATACTCACAGTTAAAGGTACTGTAGTGATCTGGAAGGATCTAATGGTAGTATTGAAACAAATTCCACCACTCTGAAATAAATCATACAAGATGTATTGTAATGATGATAATAATCTGATAATGTTTTCACGTAATCCTTGCTGAGGCAGCATGAATTAGCTCCACTGCCTGTTACTGACTTACAATTACTACTGTGTGGACTGACCCTGTACAGGTTTATAGACAGAATTATGTGTATTTATTAAAACTGGACTGAAATGTAGGAGGAATAGCATTTTTTTTAAAAAAATCATAGATTATTCCATCTAAGTAATTGTGGCAATACAACTAATTGATATCAAAACCAGATAAAATTGATGTAACTTGGTTTAATCAACTTGTGTACCAGTACCAAATTTTATGTAAAATCTACCAGTGAGGACCAGTGTTCAATTTGAATAAATTATAATTCATAACACTATTTTCTGCAAAGAATTAATATTTCATCTTTTTGAAATCTTCATCTACATATGCTGATTAGGTATTGATCGAAAAATTTTATCTTATATATTTTTTATTTTTCATCTTGAATTGTAAATATAAAGACTCTGACAGATTTTACTTACCAGTTGGCCACTGGGACAGGTACACGTTCTCCAGGTAGGATTTATTTTTAGTAACATGTTGCATCTCTCACACCTACAACACAATACATGTAAGTCACATGACTGACACTTTGTCTCAGTACCACCCCACTATTAATGGTCACATGTTCAGCACATGGAATAAAGTGTCTGTTTAAAATCTTGTTGAACCACCATTGTTTGCTAACATGTCAATACCTTGATGTCACTAATTCTGAGACAGTAGTTAAACAAAAGGAAAGAATAAAAATGTTCTTATTTTTTCATGTATAGAGTTGATCCTTTTGTATAGTTGTTGCCTTTTGTAGAATAGTATTCAATTTTGATTTATTCAATTCACTTAGATAATTCATATCTTACTGTTTCTTGCTTCTTGCAAATTCATACATGTATCATCTCTTAAGCATATATTTAATGATGTTGCCATCTTAATAGTAAAATAATATCAAGTTCAAATGAAAGGTCAAGGTCAGAAATTTTTACACAGTTGATTATCTTTCACCAAAAAATATGGAGAAATGAGGACAGAGTTTAAAAAATCTTGACCAGTTAAGCTGATCTCCCCAAAGCATTTCAGTGTTTGAAGGTTGATGAAAATATCTTGACAGTTTCTTTGAAACTTAGCAACATAATGGGGGCAGAAAGAAGAATGCACAAAGGACATGACACACTTCATGTTGTTCTATTTTAATAGTGGGGCATTAAAAGATTTAATTTCTGAAATATAACAAACAAATACCTGTCACCCCTCAGGTTAGGACTGGTGTAGTCGGCACACGCCTGACAGACCCGGGCATCCCCTCCCCCTGTGGTGGTCACCAGTGCTCCATTTACCTCCCTCTCCACTGACAAAATTACACATTTATGTTTAATTAGGTAACAACAGTATCAAAACCAATCAATATCTTCCAATATGGAATTAATGAAAATGATTATTTCACTTCAGACACATTTCTGTCAAAGGACTACCTGCTACATTGTTGCCCCCACAAGCACAAGATGTTCCTGTCTCACAAGTGACGCAGCCCCAGCCATCAGCTGATCTGACCTATAGATATTACATTTGTAATTGCAAACACTTTAACATCCAATTAATCTAAAGAATGAATATCCATATACAAATTAACAATATTGTAAGACTTTTATAAAACTTCCTTAAACTGACTGAGTTGTTACTCATTAAAACAGAAGTTGTTGTTACACATTGAATACCTGATTTAAGGGGCACTTGCTACACCATATGTTTGCACCTCCAAAATTAGTTACATACTTGTAATCTGATTCACATTCACACGAGTAACCTGCAAAGATAAGTCAAAAAAGTAAATATTTTTTAAATAACTGGTAACTTTATAAGTGCAGTTATGGCTCAATTTTATAAGTATAAAGTCTTTTATAATATGTAGAAAAATGCATGTAGATATATTAATTAGCATGACCTTTGAATGAGTGACCTCAAAACAATTGTGAATTATGAAGTTTATAAAATTAAAAAATACCACATAATTGCATCATATATATGAGATTTTTAACAGATAATAATGAATTCTATGTAGTGACTTCCTTTTAAAGTGAGAATGAAAAGCTTTTCAGTGCTACTTCATGGTTATTGTGGTTCATGAATATGTATACTTTGTCAAAATGTTTCTATCAACTTCATTGAATTCATGAAATACAATATGGATCAATTGGAAATTGGGAGTACAGTACATGTACTAGATTTACAATCTGCCATGCTGCACAGATTAAAAAACACATACAGGGTGCGTAAAAAGCACTCGTCCAGGACAAGTGAAAATCGGCTGAAGATTAGTGGATGTCATAATCTGCTTATTGCTGGTGAAAAGCAAAATGGGCAAAAAAGAAAGCTTCTGAAATCCAATATGTTATATTTTATATTTATATCTTAAAATTTAGACTGTTTTCCTGTTCATATGTGCTCAAGGGTCAAGTTCTATACAAACAGTCAATCTCTTCTTGAGTTAAATTTTATAAAATGAGCATCTGATGGTAGAAGTCTCAAGAAAGGGTAAAATGCAAACTATATTACAAGAATGAATTATATAGTAGCGATGGGCAATTGGAATGGTTTTTCATAATCTATTATAGGAATAATTGGATTAACAAGAATAAATTCGTAAAAAATTCTGGAATTATTTCTAAAATGCACTTTAAAATTTGATGTAATTTGTATCAATCCATTGGATTCATTTATTAAATTATTACTTAGGTTTTAGTTACATTCGAAGAAGAATGAATCAAGAAATCATAGGAATAATTTGCTTTTAACTAATATTTTGATAAATTGAAAGGATTTTCTATTTAAATTACTATTTTTGTGTGTGTGTGTTGTTTTTTGTAAAAGTTATTTTAAACATATCTTAATTCCTGTCCATGCACCATGTGCACATGGATACAGTATAGTCATCCCAGAAAAGTTTCAATATTTATATATTTGGTGATAATTTCATGAAATTGAAACAAAAATGCTTACAAATTTTAAGAGAGTCTCAAGATTTTAGAACTAGCAATATGTCCATAGAACATGAATGCCCCCCCCCCCCCCCCAACCACCCTTTAATAGGTTCATCAGTAATGCAACCTAAAAATTTATATTAGTGCATGAAATTTGATGGATATATCTTGAACAGTTTCTTTAAAACTGAGTTTTATACACAATAAATAGTAAAGTCAAAGGTCAATCATTAGGAAGGTTAAGGTAAAAAAGATAATTGGAGCCAGCTGGTAAATTCTCACCAAATTATGTTTAGTGCACATAAGCATACACAAAAAATATCTTGAATAGTTTTTTTCTTTTTTTAAACTGAGCTAAACACAAATTTGGGAAAAGTGACATCAAGTTCAAAGGTCAAAGTCAAAAAATGTTGATGAAGTTGAATAGCTCTCCTCGATGTGCATCAGCATATATATGAAGTTTAACAAAAATATCTTGATTTGTTTCTTTGAAGCTTAGCTAAACACAGATTTGAGAAAAGTGGGGTCAAGGTAAAAGGAAAGGTCAAGGTCAAAAAGTTGTCTTCATTGGGACTGGAGACAGTTTTCAAATCTTTATTATTAAACACATATAATTTCTGATTTTTTAAAAATTGAAAATAATTTTAATCATTAAATCAGTCATTTATTTTCATTTTTGCTTAATTTCCATCACATTCGAAATACATCTTGACGTAGTTATCTTCCCAGATTAGCTCTCCTGGATGCCAGACATCAGTGTTTTCCCTTTACTTCAAAGTAGGATTAGAGATCAATTGTTACAGGCTAGGGCTGAGGTTTATGAACAAAATCTGTGAATTTTACAATTATTCATAAACTTTTTGATTTCTAAGCAGCATTTTTATTAACTGAAGTGGTCAATCCCTTTCTTTTAATTTAAGGTGGAATAGCTACAATTTGTGTCTCGATAATAAATTAATAGGGCACTTCCGAATATATTAAATAAACAGAAAATAAAGACTAATACACAATTACACTGTATGTTAGAATGTCAAGTGAATCAACCACATATTTCATTTAACTGCATACTAGCACAGATACCCTCTGAAACGTACGACTACTGAGCACTTGAGGCCTAATTTCAATACACAAAAAAATTATCAAATCAAACCATTTATACAGGTCTAGGAAAATCACTATATTTAGCTATATAGCTAAATCTACCTATATAGCTTTATTTACCTATATAATATAGCTTTATTTAGCTATTTCAGAGTAAATTTCTGTTTTATGAAAAGCAGACAAAAAGTCGCATAATGAGGCAGTTTTAGTTTTCAACTTTGAAATGGACTGAAAAGAATTCACCAAAAACCCACTTTTAAAAATGTTTCTCCTTTTGTGCAATTGCAATCAAAGATCTAAAAGTTTTGGGGCTATGTATAACAGTTAATCTGTGAATAAGCAGCTACTTTAACAAAGAAAAGCAGTTTTGGTCAACAAGATAATTGATTGGTAATAATTCAGCACAATGCAAGGCAATCACACTTAGTCATGCCTCATCGCACTTCCAGGAATGGACAGCTATCCAAACAATAGAGATGCATTTTTTGGTTAAAAAGTGTTTAAAAGTGGCAATGTTTTTACTATCTATGCCCTAGGTTGTTTTTATCAAACCTTTTTAAAAAAATATCAGCCATAATTTTCATGCGATTTTTTGTTTGTTTTTCATAAAACAGAAACTTATTCTAAAATAGCTAAATAAAGCTATATTATATAGGTAAATAAAGCTATATAGGTAAATTAAGCTATATAGCTAAATATAGTGATTTTCCTGGACCTGTTATACACTCATTGCGTAAAAACATAATTGGAAAGACGACAATTACTCATTTTTAAGACTATTGAATACAAAAAGTCACATTGACTGAGTATGCTTCATATTTTTCTTTCACTGACGTCAAGTTCAGACATGGCTTACCATCAGAACTGACGGCTTGAAATGTTGTATTCTGTAAGCAGGACGTGCATCTCATCAACAATGTGTTGAAATACTGATTGTATTGCTGTCCTAAGTTTCTTACAGCCGTGCAGTCATCCTTTGTTATAATAGGAATGTATTCATTTTGGGCTAAAACAACAGGTAAAAGAAAAATGAAGCACCGAAGCACTTTCACCGCCATTATTGTTGATGATCGTCTACTAGGAGTTAGTGTGCTTTATGAAACGAGAGATTCTAGTTTCTTTTTAAAGCGTTTAACTTACGTTGATTCATAATTTTTAAAATGATATTCTTTCCGATTGAGTTAAGTTCTGTGATACAAAAGTAATTACCATTTGATACAAAGAAATTATTTTTGAAAAAAATCAATAATTATCTTAAGCATAAAAAGACCCGAATTTTTAAAACCGGACAAAATAGGAAAAGATGCTTAACATGTGCTTAAGGAGGCTCTTTACACCACTTTTTGATGACGTACTAAACAGGCACAAAAAAAACTCCATTTTTTTTTGTTCGTTTTCACGTTCCCTCTTTTAATGATTTAAATCTTCAAAACTCTTTAAAGAAAGAGTACACGTGCGATCACATAAGGAGACCACCAATTGATTCTGGAAAAAGGGGGAAGGGGGGGGGGGGCTGGCAAAATTTTCCCGAAAAAGTTGGAACCTTTGTAGCTAGTATAGCTCAGTTTCAAGGAAGTTGTTCATTGAATTTTTTTTTGTAAAAAAATCATATACTGTAACACTGAATCATCCTAGAGAGAGCTAATCAAATTTGTCTAGGTCGCCCGCGTGGCGCAGTGGTTAGAGCGTTCGCTCTAGAGTCGCGGAGGAGGTGTTGATCCTTACGTCGCGGGTTCGAATCCCACTGTGGGACGTGGGGACCGGTCTTTCGGATGAGACCGTATAAACCGAGGTCCCGTGTTGCAGTAGGTGCTGGCACGAAAAAGATCCCTCACTGCTCAATGGCCCTGAGTGCCGAGCATAAGACAAAAGCAGCTCTCCACCGGCAAGTGGTGGCGTCTCCATATGAGTGAAAAATTCTCAAGAGGGACGTTAAACAATAAACAAACAAAACAAATCAAATTTGTCTAGGTTTTCTGATATTGACCTTCATTATGACCTAGACCTCACAATTTCTCGTTTTGCCTTTTGTTCAAGTCAAAGAGCTTGAGCTATTCCGGATTCTCATAAAATTATACACTGGTACAAATTGCTGAGAGCTATTTAACAGTGTCAAACATTTGTGACTCCAACTTTCCCTATGACCTTGACCTCATTATTCCTGATTTTGCGTTTAGCTAAGTTTCAAAGAAAGTGTTCAAGATGTTTTCATTAAATTTCGATCCATACAATGTTACAAATTGAAAAAGCAATCAAATCGTATCGTAATTTTCTAGCTGACGTCTACCTTCCTTTTGACCTTTATTTTCATTACATGAACTTGATTTAACTTTTCAAGATTTTCTTATCAAACGTTATACAAAGATACATGATTGTGAAAGCAATTCAAATGTAACATTTGTTTGTTGTTATTGTTGGTTAGGGCCGGTTTTTTTTTTAATATTGTATTCCTTATTTTGTTTCTACCTTTGATTCAGAGAAACTATTAATGCAAGAGTAGACGGTTTCATCACACTTCATACAATGATACAATTGGGTGATAGCTATTCAACTGCATCAACATTTTCTGATCTTGACCTTCCCCATGACCTTAAACTTCACGTTTTCCTTATTATAACCCCCCTCCCGCTTGAAATTATATTGATGGAGGTGTACGTCCATCCTTCCTTTTGTACATTCTTCCGTACACTTGGGGATACCAATCTCTTATCTGTTAAGACTTAGTATATATTACAGTGGCGGTTCCATGCAGGATTTCTTAAAAAGGGGGCAACATGTCCCTACTGTGTCCAGACCTTTATGCAGAACTTAGTATTCTTTCAAAGGTTTAAAAACCAATAATGAAAAGTTTCTAGTGAAATGTCACTTGCTTTAATGTTCGTTTAAAACACAATTGAAATCCATTGCCTGTATGTCCGTTTTTATCCGGACAAATCCTTATTATTTTCTCAACGTATGAGGTCCGTGTTCACGCTTTAAGTGCGCCATATTGATTTTTCACAATCAAGAAAAGGTATAATTTTGTTAATGACAAAGATGGTTTATATATTGTGAAGGACGTCTATTTTATACCCAAGAAGATAACAGTACAGGTACGGATTTTCAGAAAAAAATTAATGCCATGTTTGCAAAAGTGCATTCTACACGAACACGAAATTACAAAGGGTGGGGAACCGCGAACGCTTTTTTTCTTCCAATTTGTAAATTGTTTTGATTTATAATGATGCACTCATAATCATAGTAAATCTCCTTTAAAGTGTTTCATTTCAACCATCTGATTATATGATCTTTTAAAAACAAGCGACGTTACAAGGGGTGTACCGGTGGTATACACTTGGTCTCTGTCACGTGGTCTTTCATGTGTGGAGTAAGGAAGACAAATTTCTCATATATTGTTGTGATGCAAATATCGTTGAAGTATGAAGATAACGAATGGTGATATAATTATTTAAGGAGTGATCTGGAGAATTTGTATATGATCTTAAATTCACTGTCAAGGAATTTTTGTTACATCACTCAAAGCTTTGTGTCCAATATTTCAGACTTAAGATATCACTCTAAAAATTGTTGCAAATTGAAGATTGGTATCAGGACCAAGTCACCAAGGAAGGCCGAGATAGTTGCACTTGAAACAATTAAAATACAATTAAAATTTAATTCATTAATATTGAGTGATGTAACGGAGACACTTCAAGTTTAATTCAAATTAATTAATTACAACTGAATTATATCTTACTTGTGACACTCATTTTTGCCCCTTTATAAACAAAATTTCTGTTCATTGTTCTCATTTACACTCAAATCTAAAGACTAATACATAAAAAGATCACCTTCTGTTTCAGACGTAACAGGACACAAACTTCAGCACACAGAAAAGAAAATTTCCTCCAAAATTAAAATTAATTGAACAAATTTTTTATTAAAGGATTTGCACTTACATTTGGCATTTTTTGGCCAAGTTTGCATAATCATATGGCAAAGGAAGAAAATTATATGCCTCATTTCAACATATAGAGATGTAACACTGGACGCTGAAGCCTTCCAACAAACTTTTTTTTTAAATTTACTTAATTGTTAAGTTTTTACTTTGAATCAGATCACAGGAAACTTTAAGAAAATTTTAACTTAATAAATAAGTAAACAATTGAACAAATTTTCAGTTTTATTTAAATAATATACATTGTATTGTATATGCCCCTTTCTACACAAATGTCATTTTATCTTCTGTCAAGATATCAATCTTGATCTTTTCCAAGTTAAAGAGTCACAGAAGTGATCAGTGGCCATTCTATGACCTGAAAAGAAAAGAAAAAAAATGGTGAAAAGGTAGTTTGACAAGGATATTAAGATCTATACTCGTACTTTGATAGTGATGTAACACTGATCTCATGATATTTTCACAAATTTAACTTGGACACAAAAACTGGTGTCCTATGTTACATCATGTAATGAAGTTAAAGAATGACAGAACAATGTATAATACATACTATTTCACTCAAGTTTATTGTGTGTTTTGCACTTCTTAAAACACCATTTAGGTATTTTTGTCAGAAGCCAATCAACAAAAAAATATGCACATTCATAAATAGTGATGTAACAATGACACATTCTGTTGTGGCTTAATAATCTTGTCAAAGTTACATCTTTTATAAATTTTCAGATATTTTCTAAAATTTTCTAAAATAGAGTTTACAATGGTTATTACTTGATACAATTAAATTAAGCTCAATCAGTTGAAATTTAATCACATGTAAATTTACATTTTTGAATTAAAAGATTTAGGTAATACTTGATTGGGGGATGTGATGTAACTGTGGACACAATCAGTCCAACCATAGTGTGAAAATAAATAAGCATAATTCTTATATTAATGTAGCATAGTTCAATATTTACAGTTTATTAGAAAATTAATTCTTATTTCTGTGCAAACACGCAAATCTGGCATTATATATGTTTCAAAATACATCCTTAAATCGCCGAAAAAGATGAGGTCCCCAAAAAATGAGAGACGTAACATGTAAATGACCTACCTACTACTCGCGTCTCCTGTCATCTTTTTCTTGGAACTGATCCAACACGTGCACGGGTCTCACCAAAAATGAAAGTAGAGACCAGAAAATGTCATACAAACAGGATGTCGTCCTCTGGTCACCCGAGTATTTGATGTATGACATGTGTATACAGACGTAACGTTTTGACACGAAAATACAGATAAAATTATGATGATTATTTTTGAAATAATGCTTTCACATTTGAACACAGCCATAGTTCGTAAATCTTTTACGACGTCTCTAATTGCTATAAATAGAACATATCATCGAAGTTTCCTTCGATTGTATCTGAAAGCGGCTGTGCGCGAGACGTAACAAAATTGACACGAAATGTTACATCCCCAAGCATAAAATTTAACCATTGTTTAATTTTTAAAATATTCAATATTTTTTTTGACAAACCCAGTAAATTTAATAAATAAATTTGTATATAATAAACGAATCAAGAAAATTAGGTGGAATGATTTTATTTACTGCTGCTATTCCTTCATTTCTTCGGACCATATGAAAAAATGTCACAGAGATTGTCCACTGAATTGCATCAAAAACAATCATTACAAGTTTGATTATTCGCTTGACAATCATTAAAACATCATTAGTTATTAAATATGAGCATCAGAAAATTATTAAATAAGTTTATTCATCAAAGTTGTGAAAGAAAAAGAAATAAATGGCATTTTAGATAGACGTAACGAAAATTCCTTGACAGCGAATTTAGGATCATATTACTTAAAAAAAGTACTAACTGACCAGGCGATCGCCAGATTTCTGGAAAGTTAGGTGGGTTACCCTCTCCTTTGCGCCAGATTTTTTTCCCCTCCTTTTTTATAAATGGGTAACATTGTGGTGGGTTCTTGTGTATTCTTGAAGTATTTTTTTCCCATATTAAAAAACAAAATGTGATCAATTTACTTTAAGTAGATCAATACATGTAATGAATTTATTTCATTAAAATGAAAAAGATATTTGCAAGATGGTTTATCCTCCCCCTCCCACTCTTCAGAAAATATTGTGAGAAAAACACTGCCAAGATAAAATTGAGGGAGAACATGAGAAAGGTACTATGTATATTTATATTTAGCTGCAGTAATGTCATTTTTTTTTTTTTTTATAAAATTTTCTTTCTGGGGGAGAGGGCTACAATGAACTAAGATCTCTGTAATGGTGCAAGGGCCGGGAAGCAGCTGAGGAAGATGTCTGAACTCTGAATACAGGGAGTTGTATTTTACCTTATGTTAAAAGACTAAGGGCTAGGTCAATGATAATAAGTGAAAAATACATCTTATTCGAAGGAAGTCGAATCTAAAGGCTATTTATTTGTCCTGAAGAGACCTGTATTAAACAAATACTTTTGCACCATTACAGAGATGTGATGGAATTGTAACTCTCTTCTGAAAACATCAAAATTTTAAAATATTGGAGAGGGCTACATAATTGCAGCTAGGTACTATGCTGCAGAACGCTATATCGTATACCTTAAACATATGGAAAAATGTTCAAAAAGTTAATATTTTGAACAATGATCAGATTTAATCATTTATTGGCAAGTCATAACAATGTTTCATGGCAGTTCATTGTTTCTGTTAATGCAAATCTCTGTGTAATTTATGCATAAAAATTCTAATTACCCCTAATAACCAACCAAAGGGTCATCATGATGCAGAAAAAATAAGAATTTTTTTAAAAAATCCAATTCAGTGTTGTTGCCAGGATGGAACCAGTTTATTAATCTGCATTTAAAGTTTCTAGGAATAAATCAATGCTTTAATTTCCAATTGTTATTTCCACTTGAAGTAATCACAACATCCTAAATATATAATAGGTTTTTCAATATTTCTGAAAGTATAACTATTTAACAGAAACAAATCTTTACATTTTACACTTATTCATCACTTAAAAGTCAGTAGCAGTTGAAATTTTAAGAAATTATTCTGTAAACACAAACTCAAAAGAAACAGTTTTTGATCCATTTTTCATGGTGTAAAATTGATTGTTAACTTTTTCTTGGATGGACAAACACCCAACAGAAGCCAATGCCTGATTTACATGCAGGTAGGGTGAAAGGTTGCGCTCAGATAAGTATTTTGTACAATAAACATCAAGAGGCTATGCAGAGATATGAGAAGAGTATTGTTTGACTGCCAGCCTATCAGACTACAGGCATGGTTATATTATTTGTTAATGATATAAGCACTTGGTAAATAACAAAACCCCCACATGATATTTTTATTTTAAAGTCTTTTTTTAATTCTAAAATTCAACTCAATCAGTGTTTAAAATTTTTATACTGATCTTGCATAATATCATATGACAATATATCTTTGTTTCAAACATTTCAGTAATATATCGAACATATTGCATCAATTTGTTCTCTGCAGATTTAGTTATTGAAAAAGAGTCCAGAAAACAAATTACAATTTACTAGTGAATCAGACCCAAAATACTTAGTATTGGTCATCAGATAAAATAGGTAGCATACATTATTAAATACATGTAGAATGAACTTTCATTAAAGGCTACATTAGATAACGTTAACTATGTAATATTCATTCTAAGTAAAAGATATACGAATAAAACAAAATTGTTATACAAATAATTATATGAGAGACATATGCCATTTGCATGAGAATTAGAGTAATGTCCCTTGATAATGTAAACAAATATGTGTTTGGTTTAAAAATTTCCTGTAATACACATGTATTTGTTGATTGTTGCTGCCGTGTTGCATTCAGTGAGGAATTTTTGATAGCCACTATTGTAACAACACTGCAATTTAGATTAGCAAACGAATGAATTGTTCAAAAGAAGAAATTTTGAATTTCTTAGGTACAGGTAGTTTTCTTCAATTTAACAAATTTTGAATGTATTCTGTGTATATGCACAATAGCCCAGCAAGTTCTGCTTCAAGTTCTCTTGGTACACAGTAAGCAATTAGGTGCTGCCAACTTGTTCCAAGATGTAGATCATCCACTCACTGAAACAAGAAGAGTTTATCATACCAGATCATTGGAAAACCCTCTATTTTCTCACTTTACAAGATA